CAATCCATCGTCTAGATAAGTATTTTGGTACATTTTGTTTTGCATTTGTTTCGTTGAAATTGCCCACCAACTTCTTTTTTTTGTAAGCGATATTCAGCTCTTGGAGACATAATTCGATATACCAAAACTTGCGAATCATTTTTGAAGTCGAAATAAATTCTTCAGAAAACCAAAAAATGTAATAAAATCAAAAATCCGTCATGACTGTCGAGGTTGAAGCACGTTTCATTCCGATGATGAAATACTTTTGTTGCATTCTAGAGCTATCCAACCGACGGTTTGACGGCAGCAGTTAGAAACGTTTTCGATTTTGATAAATATTCGCGTGATACACTCGAGACGGTCGAAAGAATTCTTCACAAACATGGAATACCCTTCGGCAAGATTCCTGACTCTAATTAAAAGTTTCCGTCCAGTTCCAGTGATACTCGTTTATTTGCAATAAATTCTTCTCAAATGCATTTTGTGTTGAATCTGCCGAATGCACCTGCATCACTCACTATCTTTTTGTTTATGACTTTTGTTTTATGACCGTAATCCTACATTTGAATATACTTCTCACCAAATGTGCGTAAAGTAGTACAGTAATACGATTCGATGATGCATCATAGCTCAACTGACTTCTCAAAACTTTCTTAATGCTCACAGTCAGTGGAATGTGTTGAAAATGATATCGTAATCATGCTAATAGAAAAAAAAGCAAGTGGTCGGTCGAAACTTTGTGATTTTATCGGAATCCGAAATTCGAGAGTCGGAAGCAATCAGTGGCTCCTTTACTGCGGAGAATTTTAAGTCACAAAAGCAAATGTCTGCGAGTAGTTCTTTGACTACTTGTGAAATGTCCAAAACGAACACCTAAATTCGTCACACACCGACCATCCTCTTTTTCAATACGTGATTTTTGTAGGCATTTCTACGAAAACGGCACATGCTGTAAAGATTTTGTTTTATTAGTTTACATTCGCCGATTTTATGTATGATGAAATTAGTGGCTTGGCGTCAATGCATTCATTGATACATGAACATTTTGGGTTCAATAGATCATTTTTGTATGTATGCCTAATCATGATCAGTTACTGGTGGCATAGACGATATGAAGTTAAAACGTAATTTGCAGGAGTGGATCGTCCTCATGAAAAGATATTTTTGGCTGTACCAAAACCAATTCCGCCGATGAGTTCCGTTGGTGAATGGTCAATAAAAAACAACGCGGTTCCAGATAATTTGCCTCTTCACAGATTTCCACTACGCTCTAGTGTATGCTTTTATAAAACTCATTGCCAACTGACCATAATCCTTCTCGCTCAAAGAAAAATATCCAAACTTCACTTTCCGTTTTACATGAATTTACATGCAAATAACAAAGATCTCTCTTGTTATTCACAGTTGTCAGTTTTCCTCCCATACAATTTCAGGTGGCCTTGAAGAAGTGACAATTAATTTCTATCCTCATATATCCATCATTTGAGAATCCTCAGTCACCTCATAATTGACTCGATAATTCTTGCAGTATTCCAATCAAGTACCAGTTAGAAATTCAAAAATTCAAATGGAACACATGCGATCGAATTTCTTCACTGAGCAGGTCTTGTTCATTTTTAAAACATGCGAATTTTCAAATATTCTCATATTCATAAAATGAAAAAACATTTGACCATCCATATGAAACTACCAGAGTGAATTTCATTACGTGCTGATGTGTGCCGTTCACGTAATATACTCTATAGAATGTTAAACATAATTCATTAGACTATAGTACTAATGAGTGAAACCAATTTCTAGTCAATCTCAGGCAACTATGAAGTTCGGTTGAGCAAAGCAGTAATTTTCGATTGGCTTTCATCAGTCAAATTTATCGATTCTTTTGAGAATTCTCTGAAGTCTTGGAATGTACAGCGTCACTTATTAAATCTAATCTCGCACATTTGAGGAATATCATTGTCAACTGGATATAGACGAACTGAGTATGTGCTCATCAGTTGCAAGTTTCGACAAAAGAATTGCAGTTACATCCGTATTTCATCCTTTTTCACTTCACATCATCGACTCATTCAATGCCTCACGAATCATCGACCTCTCATTCCTATTTCCATCGTATCGCTCCAACAATTATATACCAATTGTCACAATGCGATTTATATCGAACGATCGCCTGTTGCTCTATGAGGAAATGGTTCGAAATTTGAATTTCATTATTGATCGTGAGCAAATTTTGCAAATAATTCTCTATGTACAAAGTCCATGGGTGTGGTACAAAGAGTGCCTGTTCCCATCCTCTTTTCCTGGATAATGGGAGAAAACGGGAAAGGAAGAACAAAGAGAGTACGGAAGAAAAAAGAAAGAAGGAGGAAAAAAGGCGAAAAGGATGAAAAAGAAAAGGAAAATGGAAACAAAAAGGAAAATATGACGAAAGGGATAAGAAATTGATAATGAACATCGGAAAATTGTTCATTGCACTCCATTTATTTTCAAAAATCCTGCCAAGGTCACCTTCTAAAATCATTTCCATTTAGAGTGTAACGAAAAAATTTCTGCAAACAAACGGGATTCGTAAATAAAAATGTTCACTGATAAGCAGTTTCAGACGAATACTCTTCTGGAAATAGATTTGGAATCGAATCGAATCACGGAGTTATCACTCTACCAAACAAACTTCATCACTTCGGTCGTTAACAAACTGTCATCCAGTACGTTATTTCAGCTTACAGCTGACATTGCAATAATTCAACAATAAAGCATATAGCACATTTCCCTGTAAAATGCACATTCAACAAAGAAAAGCGATTCGACTGGATGATTGATATTGTCTGCAATCTTGGCTTTTATATTCAGTACTCACTCGGGAGTAATTCAGCTCTTAAATTTTTGCGTTCAAATTATCATAATGCGTACATTATTTTTGGTTAAATTAGGAATGATTTTTGCATGCGAATTCTTCAGTGCTTTCAATTCCATTGAATTTGGGTGACATTATAGATAATTAATCGAATACAATTCAGGGACTCAAAGTGCGACTAAATGGCGTTTCAATCCAGACTCGTTGATGTTTTTCGAGCGCCAAGGTCGGAATATCAGAATGTTAGATGCAGATGCTAGCCTCGTTACAGATATCACTTTACCGGAGGGCAGCCGAATCCAGAATGTACTACCTGTTAATCCGTACACTCATCTGATCGAATTAAGAGACAGGTCAATAATGAATGAACTGAATGTTAAAATCTTACAATTGTTTCTCACTAACAGTAAGGTAACAACTAGCGTTGTCATCAGTTGAATTCGTAAATTAAACTATTGAGTATACCATTTTCGAGAATATTTGAGATGCTTGATCATTCGAGACCATTCAATTGAGACAGTGAAAAATTATTCAGTGACTTATTGCAATAAATTGATCAAATTAAAACCATCTTGACATCTTTCAGATATGCATTAATGAGTTTTGAAGAAGACGGTCGTTGTTTATTAAGAGCAGTTGATACACCGACGAACATACCAAAAAACTTATTATGTAGCAGGAACGTTGAAATTGCATCTAATAAACAACCGTTACATATAATTGCATCTGATCAGTATTATGCAATTACGTCGAATGGTTTTCCAATGACTTTTGTTAGCGATTTTATTCATTACTCACCAACTGACTCTTAAATATTTCAATTTTGGATGAATTTCTACAGTGAAATCATTTCGATACTTGTTGTTAGGATGATCGAATGAATTCAGAGCGCAGGGGAGGTGAACGTTTCAAAACGTGAACAAGATTCATCTCACGATGATGTTCATTCGAACAAGCCTTATCAGTACGCTCACCCTCATTTGAATTCGTTGATTCTCGACAGTGGACATATTGTCAGAGCGATGCCGCACTGGAGAATACCAGCGAAAGCGATTCACGAAGGTGCCGTGAAAGCGTTTTGCATTCGAATACGTTAAATTTTTCCGATATCAGTTCTCGTTCACCGAAATTTTCGTCAGCTTCATTGTACACCTTATGTATTTTCAATATACAAACTCACTGAGTACCATCGTTCTTTATAGATATTTCACCGGATGATTATGTTGGTGTTCTGGAGATAGTTGATCCGTTGAACGAAAATGTTCGTTACATCCCCATTCCGTCATGCCGGTAACACTAATGGATTTCTCTTTTTTGTTTCGGAAATTATCAGTAAACTTCACACTTGATCACTGCTTTTTTTCAGTGAGCGCGACTTCGTTCCGAGTTGGGTTCCAACCATAAGTCCGGCTGGTTTTGTTATGGCGAAGTCTGATGATAATTCAATTATAACTTGCGATACAACAGGTGGATTACGCAGATGGCAAATCACACAGGTAATGAATGCATTGATAAGATGGTTCCCACGACCTCGCGCTGCGAACCCTCCTTTGGGCTTATGATAAATCACCGTTCCTCCGTCTAACAATTACATAGCCGCCGTCCCCTTCCTCCTATCATATGACATGTCACATCTTGGTTACAAGTCAAAAAAAATCAAAAAAAAAATTGACCCAGTGATCAAGAGGTTTCCCGTGAAGAATTCGTCGACGGTATCAACTGAACCAGTTTCATACGAATATATATGCGTTTTGGAAAAAAATTTGATCGTTTATGAAAGAAGTATGGGGCAAAACCAGTTAACCATGAACAGTCAATCTCCCACTTTCCACCTTAACACTGTGAAATTCCCCAGCAGGGAATTCCCGCTCCTATGAGAGCCACTGCTGTAAGATGTGAACGTATATTGTGGCTGTTTCAGTTGAGACCATCTTTCTTTTGATTACTTTATGGTCGAATTCTCGCCGTAAATATCGAATTGACCCGAACGTTTGTATTATAATATTTTGGTGAAAACATAATGTAAAATTTTGTTTTTGTAGTTTCAAAGTTACCAAGAATTCTGAACGCACATTCAGTGCGTACTATTTGAATATAGAGATTAGCGTTTTTACTGATTTGGAAGAATTTTTTGAAATTAGAGCAACTTTAGGGAAATAGAAGAATTCATTCAAATGAAACACTACAACCTGGTGATGTGGGATATAAGAATAATATGAAAATTTTCAAAAGGATTCCATCTCATCAGCGCTGAACGCATGGGAAAAATTGTTCGGTGATCAAACTGACGAATCATTGAGACTAGAATTTGGAAAAGATGACTTCGATATGAGCAAGTTGGATGATCCAAAAATCGGAAAAGTCGACCCCGCGAACACACCGCATGTAGGTGGCAGCACATGGGCTGGTGGTACTGGCGGGTATAATACAGCTGGATTGGGTGGCGTTGGAGGTCCTTTCAGGTAGGATTCATCCAAATGTTGTTTTTGAATAATTGATCAGTTATTATTGTGACGACAGTTTGTTGTACATTTGGTCGTTCGACAACTGCTTTTCACGAGAGCGGATCGAAGAAACGATCTGTCAAAAGCGAGTGACCCACTTTTGCTGATCATTCAGGAACATATTCATAAATACATTCCTGACCGAAAGCCAAATATTCTTCATATATCAGCTATATTTGAATGCTCCCCGTTGTCGTCGTCATAAACTACACTTAAGTCTTCAGATTAGACGCAGGTCACGATGTGCATCAATTACCTCAAAATGCGAAAGATGCAGTGCCCGAGCACATTCGGAGAAAGGCACGAGAAATTGCGAAAAGTGAATACAAGAAACGACTTCACGTTCGTCATTGTTGTTTTGAATCGAATCGTCAATTTCAATAATTTATTTTATCAATATTTGGCTTAAATTCAAAAAAATAATTTGTTTTATGAACTTATTTTATGTTACGGCGTATTTTCTCTAAAACTGTTGCATCCTTATAAAGCGCATTCATTTGATCCAAACCACTTTCTAAATTTAACAATACTTCTGAAGGAAATCGATATGAGTGAACACGATGCAAAAATGTATAACGCATTATACGGTCGTATCGAGAAGCAGTCACGTATACTGCGCAGCGTGATCGATTCGTTGGAGGCGAAAGCAAAAGAGCGCCAGTGGATCAGACATCAAACAAACGGTGATTTGGATGATGCAAAATTGGTTGAGGGTATCACTGGTGAAAGGACCATTTACAGGTGTGTAATCCAAATATTGTTTATTCACAGCGTTATCTTCACTCGTACAATGTGACTTTCATGTCACCACAATCAAAATGTTACTACAATCAAAAAATGCTCGGTTTCAGTCCGAGTTATCGAACTAAATATCGTTTTCCAACATGATTATCATTTTTATCAACTCTGCACTTGAGATTGAGATTCACTACAAAAAATTAGCAGTCACAATTGAATTGAAAATCAGATGAAATTTCAGACGCCGAATAGACCAAAAACCAGACGAAAGTGCCGAACAGAACAAACCAAAAAGAATTCGTTTTTGCTTCGATGTCTCTGGATCAATGTATCGATTCAATGGATATGATCAACGTCTACAACGATCGCTCGAGAGTGCATTGTTGGTTATGGAATCGTTACACGGCAAACATTCAAAAATTATTGTTCGTTCATCGATTAAACTAATTGAGTAGCATATAAAATAACTGAATTCTCTTTGATACACATAGTGATTTAAATGTTTCTATCACATAAATAGTTATGTGATAGTGATAGTTATGACATTCATTAATGAACATTATTCTAGTACGATATAGTTGGGCATTCGGGGGAAAGCGAGAAAGTTTCATTCGTTAAATTGAATAATTCACCAAGCAATGAAAACTCAAGACTGAAGGTTCTCAAGAAAATGCTACTTCATTCACAGGTTTGCCTTTTCTTTCTCCCGTAAAATTTTAGACCAGATTGATGAATGTTGAATTGGTAACAGCGAATATAGAACAATCATTGATAAGAGATTTTGACGATAAGATGAGATTGAAATGATGATCTCTCGAAGAATGAATATTAAAAANCTCAAGAAAATGCTACTTCATTCACAGGTTTGCCTTTTCTTTCTCCCGTAAAATTTTAGACCAGATTGATGAATGTTGAATTGATATAAAACAATCATTGATAAGAGATTTTGACGATAAGATGAGATTGAAATGATGATCTCTCGAAGAATGAATATTAAAAATGGAACTGGAACAGCTCAAGCTCACGCTTTCAACTCAAATTGCAGTTTTGCATGAGTGGAGATTCAACGTTGGAATGTATGCAGCTATCAGCAGATGAAATCTCGAAGGAGGATTCAGATGAACGATTCGTTGTAGTTGTATCTGACGCGAACTTTGATAGGTTCTTATTGTTTTATAAAACCAGTTGAATTGTTTTTATGCTAAACTCTCATTAGAAAATCAAACTGAATAGTAAACAAATGAAATGTTTTAATTCCCAATTATTTTCATGTTTTTGGTAGACGCTACAATTTTTTTTAATGATTTGGATCCGCACATCGTGAATTTTTTGTCAAATTGGAGGCTTACAAGTAAACGAAATCAATTCCGAAATTGTATTTGTGGAAATATATCGACTCTAGTAGCTGTAGTTATGAACGGAATTACAGGTACGGTATTCGACCAAACGAAATAATAAGGTCTATGACGAGTTCGAGTGAAAACGTTAACATCTCCTTGATACTAATCGGTTCATTAGGAGAACAAGCAGAAAGGTAGGCTCTTCAGAGGGGATTTTGAAAATCAAATAAAATTATTTGAACAAATTCTTTTTATGCTGTTGCCGAGGAGTAATTCAGCGTAAGTGATAAGCTCAACTGTCCATGTTGATCATTCCCAACAATCTCTCGCCTTCAATACTATTCCTTCTCGGAACGTGCAGCTATTGAAGTGCTTTAATTTGTCATTAATAAATCACTGAATTGTGTTACAAAAATGCAAACCATTATATGATATTTAACAGTAGATTATTACTGCAATAATTGAATGGTGTTAAAGTAAATCCTCTCCAGGCAATCAGCAGTGAGCAAAACCCATGTATAAGTGATTATAAATTACAGACTACAAAAGGCACTCCCGTCTGGACGTGTATTTATTTGCAAAGATGCAACAGAGATACCGCTCATTATGCAGAACATCTTCTCATCTACTCTCCTCAGATAGTCTTCAAACCTTAACATCGTTGTGTTGACTGCATCCGTTATTTCGTAGAATGAATAAAATGCATAAATTTGTCACCTTACCTCAATTCAACGGTTAACATTCAACTGAAACAAATGCGGAATCTCACTATCGTTTAAAGTCTTCATTGAAACAAGCCCAAAGAACAAAAATCTCCACAAAGATCTATGTAAATGACTCATCCAACGGAATTTGTCGATGGAATAATTGTTTCCGTTATTTTTACCTGAACAGAACATCGGGTCAAAATGTCTGAAAATAAACCTCATCGTTCTCACCCAGTCATTATCCAGATAATCAGTGAATACAATTTGAAATTATGAAGACAACCGTGATGAAGAGGAAAAGCATTGTTAGCATCAAAATTCATGAAATATAAAATTTATCGGTGATACCTGTCACTAACATTAACAAACATTCTGGCTTCCTGAATCATTCAAAAGTGAACTCTTTTAGTGTGTGCGTTGCAAGGTATATAGGTGACTGTAACTGTACAATTACTAATTCTCAACTTTTGCATACTCAAACATGAATATATCATAATCAAAATGAATATCGAGAGCGTACTGCGGTACTGATGAGTGTATATTCAAAAAATTATACACACAAGTCGACGCATTTAATCCTTTAAAAACGATCATTCAAGAAAAATAGT